TCAGGTCAACAGGTCAATCAGGTCAGGTCAATCTTCATACCTGACCTGAATTTTTTTTAAAAATCTCATACCTGACCTGAATTTCAGGTCAGGTCAGGTCAGGTTACCTGAATTTGGCTGACCTATTCGGAGCTCTAGTAGTGCAGCAGGGTTTCTGACACAGTTATGCTACCCACTAGCGCCTGTCAGAAATGAGCAACCATTTACATACAGCAAATATAATGGAGCAGACATCTAGAAGTCCTTCCATGATGGTTAACTTAGAGGTACTGCAGTACTAAGACTACTAATATGATCTCACTCAAAGCCCACTACAGGCCACGATTACCATACTAGCCCACCATAGTTGTAAATCCCCCAGTAGTAATAGTAGTGACTACCAGGACAGTAACTGTCTCTTATACACATCTAGATGTGTATAAGAGACAGGCGGGGTCCTGATCCAAGTCAAATCGGATCAAATTAAATCTAATCCGAATCTAATCTGAATCTGATTTGAATCCGATTCAATTTTATATTTTTAATTAAAAAAAAGGTTCATGGCAAACATTTTAGTTTTAAAGCAATAATAATATATTTTAAAATTAAAGTAAAAAAAATCCTCCAAAAATCAATTATAACAATCTATTGTTATGAAAAAAAAAAATTTCCCAGAAAATTAATTATACCAATCTATTGTCAGATCTATTATTACAAAAAATAAATAAGTAAATTATATGTCAGTCTATTATTGAACTTAAAAAATAATTAGGGAAAATATTCTTATTAAGAAGAATTACTGTGGTGCTGCAGCGTCAATCTGATCACTAATCCAAATCTAAATGGTTTAAAATATGGTTCGAGAAAAAACAAAAAAAAAGCCAAACCAAAAAAAGAAAAATTTTTCAAATTGGAAAAAAAGTCAAAAGCCAATCCGAAAAAAGAAAAGTGAAAAAAGAATTTTCAGATTGGAAAAAAAACCAACTCAAAAAAAAGGTTTTAAAGAATTCGAAAAAATCTCCCAAAAAATAACAATAAAGAAAATTTGAAAAAGAAATGAAAATAAAATTAGGGGAAAAGAAAAGGATAAAAAAGAAATTGATTTAAAAAAAGGAAATTTTTGAAAAAAAAGGAATCCGTAAAAAAAATAAGTACCGAAAAAAATTCTGAAAAATAAGGTCCAAAAAGACTGAAAAAAATTTTTAATAATATGGTCTAAAAATAAAGACCGAAAAAAAATAGTATTAAAAAAATCAGTCTTAAAAGACCAAAACAATAGGATTATTTATAAAAAAAAAAAAATTTTAGTTTGGGAAAATAAACAGGAAAAGAATGAAAAAAAACCAAAAAAATTCTTAACTAAACCAAAAAGAAAGAGGAAAAGAAAAAATGAAAATTTTTAAAAAAA